GGGACGAAACACGCTTCCTGGTTTCCATTACTCTAGCCACTATCCATCTTTGATTAAATTCTATAACAGTTTTATAACAATCAGTTTATAGAATACCAGTCTAATTTCTATTCGATCAGCTATCTAACCATAAGAACTATTTCTTGTTTGTTAAATTCCCTAACTAATATATTTTTCAAACAAAAATACTTATATGATTATTCATTTACTTTTTTTTACATTATTTTCCTCTCTTATTTTCTTTGTCCTCTTGTATTTCACCCTTACAAATTCATTACCATTTCTGAACAGTATACTAATACACTAACGATAAAATTTGACATTCTATTTATGCTATATTTAGACCATTTTATGCTAATGTTTCAGCTATTAGAAGAAGTAGAAAAAAAGGATATTCGTTTTAGGTTATTCTCCAAGTACAATTTGTGAAATGTCATATACATTAGTAAAAGATAAATTACATTTCCCTACTTTAAATTTGTACATAATTCATAATTATTTAGAAACTGATTAAGGGTTATTTCCCCCCCCCCACACACACACACATACAACCTTTTTTTTAAAGAATAAGGTAATGGATTATGATTAGTACTATTACCATTTTTTTGTAAAACAACTGTCATTAATTGTAATTTAATGTTTCAACTAAGAATATAGTTCGAATATTTGCTTCTACTTCTTAATGGAAAAGTAATGTGACAAAAACAATTATATCTTAGATGTTAATTATGAATTACTTAATATGAAACATTGTGGGTATCTAAAGGTGTATTTATGTATTTAATCAATCCTATGTTATGCCACAGAGAGGTATATAGTGATTTGTCACTTTTTAGCTGCCTATAGCGTCGAAAGATACTTCTTCTTGTGGGATCCGGAAAAAAACTGATTTAAGGTTGGTCTTGATAACCTGGGAGTATTGTCAGTTGGATAGTTGCTTTTATGTGAATGGTTTTAGATTTGTTAGCTATATACCTTGAAGGCCTAATCGCTAATATCAGTAACCTGTGGGGTAAAGTGAGGTATGATAGTTTCATGGTTTAAGTTTCCTAAACCATCCTTCCGTTAGTGAAAAGTAAATGTTTCTGGAGATGGTAGCTATCTAAGAGAAACAGCTTACTGTCATCACATCTCATTATGTTGTGACTTTATGTCCGGATTTTTATCACGTGATTTATCCACCAATCAAAATACGACTTATACAATCTTAGCACTGTGCCAAACCAATGACGTTCAACTGGTATGAGCAGCCTAGTGTCCTTATTGTTCCTATGTCCGCCTAGCCCGTCCACTTGAGTCCAGAACACCAATACCAGCTTCCACTATGCGAATCATATATTTCAAACATACTGTGTTTATATATCAAACGAACAGACCGCAACGCACCATAAAATAGGAAATAACATTTGTACACAATAAAGCCAGAAAATGTCTGTGAACGTGGGAGGCAGTAGTTAATGAACTGAGCATAATTTAGGGACAGTAAATCGTATAATAATAAATAATAGGTCAAAATGAAGCTTATAATAAGAGGGATATAAATATAAATAATCTAATTATTAAATAATTATACAATAAGAATATTAGTCCATTAATAGTCTTCGAAGTTACCCGTAATTTAATCTTCACTAGGATATATTACATTACAGTTGGCTGCAAGACATTACCTTGAAGTGGTAACTTTCTGCTTTTGTTATTACTGCTATTCGGCCTCATTGTCTGACATGGTAACATAAAGAAACAAAAGTTTCAGCCAATGTAGTCTGATTTAATTGATTGATTTGAACACATAAAGATTGGTACAAGCGGGCACCAAATACATATGCGCCACACAATAACAATGAGGTTGTCAAGTGATAGATAATATAAAGTGTGTATAATAAAAAGAACAATAACGAATAGAAATTGGTGTACGAATGTAGCTTGATTGTGCTATCACATTAGACAAGTCGGAGTATGTATATGCATCTGATTATTATTTAAAATTCAGTGATCATATGTGGCCTTATACTTAAAATTGAATAAAACTGTAAAGTCTATGAAAAGTTTGGATTAGCTCAGTTCACATCCTGTACAATAAAGTAAAATAAAAGTAAATTAGCGACATTCTCAATAGACACCAGCTTAGAAACGGACATTAATGACAAAAATACGATTTTTAAAGTGATACATAGTTCTGCGTACAGAATTAAGTATCATGAGAGTAATTCTGTTTATACAGGCTAGGTATTTAGACATTTGTTATTGAAACTGACAGATTTCATACTCTTTGAAGATGAATCTATAAAAATATAGCATTCATTCATGAAGACAGTTTGAATATCAGGAACTCAATTACTCAAACTTTTACTACTAAAGATATGAACATCATAACTGTTGGTCAAATTAACATCCATCTGGATTCAGAGGACAACACGTTGAGGATCTTGAGCGAAAGCTAGCGGATTCGAATCTTAGTGTGAACATCAATACTAGAATAAAAATGCATACAGGTAACGCGAAGAAATGGGATAAAACACTCGTTCATGTTTCCACAACTAGCCATCATCCATCTTTTTCAAACAAAAATAATTCTAGTCATCATTTGTACTTTTAACCATTACGTGTAAAGGTTATTTCGAGGTTATGTGTATAGATAACATTACTATAAAAACACGTTTACGAATATTCTTCGTTACTTCACGTGATTATTTTAATGAAAGAAAGAAATACTTTCCAAATTAGTACAATCTAATCTTACACGTGGATCTTCAATGTCAATCTTATATTTTCCCATCAAATGTTACTTATGTTTGAATGCAAATTTACAAACCAGTAATATTGATGATAATTGGACATAAACTAAATATTACCATATTCCAATCAGTCACACTATTTAATATACATGTTTGTTGTCGACATAATCCACATCGTGAATTAGAAATACTCAAAATTCTGAGAATCCGTTTATCTCATTAGATTAGTTGATTCGTGAATGATATTTCAGAGTAACTAATCAGTTTTGTAGTGAATATGTGTTTTCAATGTTTTACAATGCAGCATGTTTGAGGATAATTTCAACTTCAGTTACCAATAGGTAATCGATTAATGGTGGCTAAAAGTGTCGTATTCTCACCAATAAACCACATATTCAAACCACAATCGACTCATGTTAGAAACAGTTCTCACACAAAATATAACTCAGGGTCAAATACATAGATCTTAACTCTGTAAACATGTCGTCTTTGATTTGTTCATAACATATTGTATTGGAGGGGTTTTTATTCAATTACTGTGTTAAATGGTAAACTTATGATTCATATGATCATAACCTTTAGACTGTAATATGGAACAGGAAATATACCTCTTCTGTTTCATATCACATCCGTCTAAATTGTGGAAGGAAGGCCTGACAATCCTCTCGTTGGTACTTTTTTTAAATTACATGATTCGATAGTTAGTCATCCAGTAATATTAACTCAGCAATTTGATTTTGTTCAGTAGTATAAAATGATTGTGTAATCGTTTAGGTTCACTATGACCGGTGGTAATCATGACGTTCCCTATTCTTCGTCATATGATTATGAGAGACAGCAGTGCAAACTGATATGGTTAGTGTCATTGTGTAGGTCATCTCACTCACAACATAACTCAAATTTATCCGTGAAGTAGGTCAGTTAGTCATCATCGTAACAGTCTGGTACAGACAAGAAAAGTTATATAGATGTAGCGTATGTTAGATAGATAACCTTCGTTTCATGTTTTTAATCGGCCAATACCCATCAACAATGCTTATTTTCAGTGTTCATGTGTTCGTGCAATTCATGGGATTCTGATCCATCTCGTCCAGTGACCATGGAATTTAATCACTACTGAGGATTAGATAAGAATAGTTTCGTTGCCATTATTGTTGCTGTCTTTGTTAAACCAATTGTCCTATTCAGGTTAGACAAACTATTGTGGAATATACTCTTTTACCAACCTTCGATCTGATGATATTCCCTACTATCTACAACTTCATTCTAGTAGTTATATCTGTGGACAAGACAAACAGAATTCAGGAAATTATTTCTTGTTTCTGTGAGAAATTCAAAATCAAATTGCTTTTATTGTTCATCACATTAAATTCGCGATAGATTTACCTTGGTATAGTGCCTAGAACGTTCAGGTTTGTGTTAACTTTTAATACATAGACTATATAACGCTAGATTCGATTACTTTTCTTTTCAATGTAGTTTATGTATAAAAAATTAGCAAATGAAATCAATTTATTACTGATTCATTGAACAATGGATGGGCTGGTAAAGTTGCAGTCTCAAAATAAATGATGATTATCCTTCATGACTTCTTTATATCATTACGGAGACAACGATTGTTCTTTTATAATTCCCTTTCCATAACGTTCCTTAAAATTCACTAATGAAAACTTGGTAGGCGAAGACCAACATACGTGAAATTATTTATTGTTTATTTATCATTACAACTGTGAAGATTCTGTAAGAAAAAAACTATCATGATTTACTTTGTTTCCAGATTAATCGGGTTATATTATAACATTTCTACACCATTAGGATTCAAAAACCGATCAGAATCCTTAGAAAATTAATGATTCTCCTAAAATCACTAAGGTGTAACAAGTATCGTTCGTTATGTTGCAAAATACTTTATTATTTCCAGAGACTATTCTGTCTGAGAAGTGGCTAGAAAACCACACAATCATCTCCAAGGATCACTCAACCATAGTATGCTTTCACCCTATCGTTTCAACTAACACTATTTAACACTAATCCTCGTACACACACAAAAACTGCGCCTTAAAACTTAGTTAATTTCCAAGTCATATCATTGTGATTGACGTACTTTGATGAACGTCTTCAATCAATTGATTAACTATATATACGTATATAATTTGGTATTAGTATCATGAAGGTTCTGTCTTGTTTAATAAGTGAACTACCCTAATCATCTTTATTTACAATCATCTTTTTGTGTTGTTTACATTTCTGCTCATAAAATTTTAGGCGTTTACGTTCTACACTCCAACTCTGTGACAGAATTGTTATATGCTTGTTTATAGCAGCCTCATATACTCCATGGTAAGTTGCCTTCTATTTCAGTAATCATTCATCAACTTATGCTTAACAATGTCCGAGTTTGAGTGCAATTTTTTTGACTTTTTCAACTAGTTTCAACTCTTTCAATCAATATACTCTCATGAAAGTATGTATTTCATTACAACGTGTACTGAAGACTGTGAAGTTGTGGACTGTGACCGAGTTAAACTTCACAACAACTTATTGTGTTAGATTTGTTCACCTTCTCCACTTTTATTTATTCCATACTCACATAGACGTGGAGAAAACAGATTATATAACATTCTCTGTTCGATGAACAGTAGCGACAAGAACAAGTTTCTTGTGAGCACTTAAAGTGTAAACGTAAAAACACTTTTCTATTCTTTTGGATATAAAATGACATCTATCTGCCTGATTAGTGGAAAGCAAGTGAAGTCACTGTGCAATATGATATATCGTCAACCTTAGATATACACAACTGTTATTGTTGAAAGAATTATGGCACAACTGAGAAAACATATTTAAATTAATCAAATAAAGGATTCTGCTTTTCTGCAGTGATTCAAAATTAGTTTATTTTACAAATCCTTTTCACGACATATTGATCTTAAGATCAATGTTGTTAGTTCCATTAATGGTGTATTCATAATAACGCACTGTTGACGAGCTCCATACTGAAACAAGCATTCATCCCTCACTCCAGTTGACATTAATCTGTAATATATATTTTTCAGATTCACTCCAGTCTTTCTACCGCACTCTTATCACTATCACTGACGTTTTCTTCTTGTTTTGTTTTTCATTCCATTGTATTCATATTATGCATTTGTCGTGTGATATAAATCGACTAATATCACATTAGTTACATCTTATCTCTAGAAAGTTCTAATTCAATCCAACCTTCACAAGTTTACAAATGTGAAAAGTATGGTTTCAATTACTTTGTTTTCGTTGACTTTAAAATAAAGAAAATATGTTTGTTTATGTCTCTTTATCTTTTCATTAGGTTTCCATTATAAAATAATAATGAGATTAATAATTTTATAAATTAGGTCAACTTCAAAATGGGTGTTTATGTACACATTATCTGTTAGTTGCTAGTGTTCATTGTTTTCAGTTGACCGCGAAATAATTTAAAACTATTTATTAAGTAGCATGACTTGAATCTCTGTGTGTGTGTGTGTGTTTCTACCTCTACTTTCATAACATTAGTTATTTGTCGAATCTTCACTTTGATTTAAAAGTTATTCATTATCAACCTAGAGCGTTGAACGAACGTGTGTCAGAACGAATTCCCATATCACATTAGCACAATGAGATGAAATCAACAATGAAATCTAAGTAATGTTGCGTCAGTGATCATTTGAACGGCTCAATATTGGTAATGTGGTTTGAAAAGACACAATGGAAACGTACATATGAAGGAATACTGAAATACAACTTGTAAAGGAGTGAAATAGAGTAAATACATTTGTGCTATTGTGACCGATTCTGAGACTTGTCATCCGAAATCTGCAATAACTAATCGTGGCTATCGCACTGACCTCAGTCACGTAGTACTCTGTATCTACTAATATGGCACAGATCAACAGTCAATAACTTCACAAGTTAATACTATGTCATAGTTTGGCCACCGTCAGCTTTCTTCCATATTACTCCCAACACATGTAAATTGTCTTGTATGAGTTTTTTTGATATCTTATTAGAGTAGTGTTGCAATAGTAGTTTACTATATCCTTCATAACAATATAAGTAGTTTGGAAATAGAATTCACATATATGAATATGATGTTGAAGACAAGAATGAAGTCTGATTATAAGAGATTGGTTCGATTGTAGAGTGATTGACTTATTAGTTATCATACCTTCTTCATATTGTCTATTTGTTAAATAATTTCTGGTTGTATTTCTTCGTGTCTTGAATAATTTGTTGATAATCAAATTGCTTTTTCAGAAGGAAAATGCATTCCACTATACTTGTTTTCTCACTTAATTTCTGTTGTATATTTGTTTCAGCACTTCTATCTTGTGAGCAAATGTCATCATTCTATCACTTCGTTTTGTTTTGTATTTCATCAATCGAACAATGTTCTCTACATATTTGTCTCTACGACTTTTTGACTTTTATTTATGAAGTTATTATTCATATCAACATGATTGTAATTAGTTGAACGAATAGTTTTTTATGTCATCTCGTTCAATCTGATATCTTTCATGTCACCATTAAAAAGTCTCTAAATGCTGCACGCAAGAAATAACACATTTGTCTATCGATTTCCCAATTCTCAGTTTATACTAATACATTGTATTCAACATATTGGAATATCGAATTACTTATCTTGATAGTTGGAACATTAATCAATGATACTATGTTGTTACCATATACATCGATGACAAAACACATAATTGAAACAAGGTACTGAACTGACACCATTACAGCTTTTAGAACGTTGTATAGAAATTGTGAGGGACGTATTCTGAAGTTTGTAGGAACCTTGGCTATTCCTAAATCTAATAAACCCTCGTTATGTCTTCAAAAACAAATTTGTCGTAACGTTGAAGTTACCTTGGTAATACTTAAGTCATTTAATGGCCTAGGATAATGCGATAATTTCCTATTCTTTCTATACAATGTTAATTTTCTCTCCCTTTTATTACTTCGTTTATTTGAACTTTCATTTAATTGACCTTTATTAATTTTCATATAAAATACCTTGACATGTATATACGTGACTAGATTGTTCAAAATGTACAGCGCAAGTGCATCACATTTCTCAGATCAACTCCGTTTTCTCATTTTTTTTTACTTACGCCTGTTACTCCCAATGGAGCATAAGCCACCGACCAGCATTCTCCAACCCACTCTGTCCTGGGCCTTCCTTTCTAGTTCTATCCAATTTTTGTTCATTCTTCTGATATCTGTCTCCATTTCTCGGCGTAATGTGTTCTTTGGTCTTCCTCTTCTCATTTGACCTTAAGGATTTCATGTGAGGGATTGCCTTGTGACGCAGTTGGGTGCTTTACTCAATGTGTGTCCTATCCACTTCCAACTCTTCTTCCTGATTTCTTCCTCCTCTTGGATCTAATTTGTTCTCTCCCACAGTTGGTTGTTGCTAATAGTGTCCGGCCAACGGATCCGAAGTATTTTGCGTAGATAGTTGTTAATAAACACTTGTATCTTCTGGATGATGGCTTTCGTAGTTCTCCAGGTTTCCACCCCATACAGTAGAACTGTTTTGACATTTGTATTGAAAATTTTGACCTTGGTGTTGGTTGACAGTTGTTTTGAGTTCTAGATGTTCTTCCGTTGTAAATATGCTGCCCTCATATCTGCATCAGATCCACCGTGTTCATCAATGATGCTGCCCAACCGTCTTCTCATTACTCTATCAAAATTTATAAAAGGAACTTATTGCTTTAAATGTTGTTACTCTATTTTACTAAATGTTTAGCTTACCGCTTACATAGTTGTTTGTGATATTAGTAGGTAGCAGTAAAATTGAGTGTTCAAATAGTCATGACATTAGTTTATATCATAGTTATTGACTATAGTACCGAGCCTTGTGAATACATGTAAACGTCTTCGTTGAATTCTTGTTTATAATTGTAATTTATGTTAGAGAGGTTGAGTTAATTTTTACTCACTTTTGAATCATATTTCTTTTCGTGGTGATAGATATTGTTATTTCTACTTCTTTGCTATGGTTTTTTTTACATTTTGTTAAGCTTTTTACTTGTTACGCTCCAAGTCGTAGGTTGTTTACAGTTAACTTAAGTTAGATGATTGAGGGTAGTTGACAGAAAATCTTACGCCTAAGTTTTTTGTTTGTGCAGACCTGTCGATGGGGCGTACCTACAATGATGGGGGAAGTAGTGGTTGTTGCGCTGTTTGGACCGGAGTTATCTAGCTCCATAGTCTAAGCTATCCACACCACGACCAAATTTTTACAGGATTGAGATATTTACAATTGATTGATCATTGTGCCGATAACCTTTCACCATTCAATATCCCAATATAGTACAGGCGATATTGAATCACGTAGATTAGTGATCATAATACAATTTGATCAACAGGACTCGATCAATCGTACTATGAACTAAATAAACATGATACTTGTCATTACTTAATAGTCAATCAATTGTTTACTTGACTCATTAATTGAACTATTCGTTCATTTATTATTACATCTATCATATTAATACATTCTTTAATCTTATAATGTTGATGAAACAACTATTACTGACTAATTATCTGAATGGGTTTAGTTTCAGTGAGATCTTTTAAATTAAAATAAAATCATTCATTTCACATATCTATTCAATGTGTGAACTCATAGATATATGTTTATCTATATATTCTTCCTTTAAGGCTGTTATTACGTGATTTCCATGCATCATGGGGTTTAACTACACTGTGGTCTGTATGGATTGCAGCAATTTTCGGTGGTGCATTCCAATATGTTTATCTAGATAGGTGAGTAGAATATGTCACATTGTGTTTTGCATGATTTCAAAATTTCACTATATATAAATCGGGAATATTTCAAGGTGTTCTTTGTTCTTCAAAGTCATCAAAATAACCAATTGCTAGGAACTCAGAAAAAAAGATTTACCGAGTTCGCAAAAAAAACAATAGCTTCTTATAGTTAAGCTATCAACATGACATTGATTTTACCAACCAAGTAATCATTATGAACTCAATGAAACAATATTACTGATTATTAGAACATGTTTCTTTACTAAATGTATTACTGTGGTATAAAGTTATAGAAAAAAGAACCCAATAGAATGAATTTAGAAATTCTGATACAAATGCATTTACCTGACGAAATGCGGATTTCGAAACAAAGAAATAGATAGAAATAGAAATTGGTTAACAAATAGACAATATGAGAAAGGTATGATAACTAATAAGTCAATCAATCTACAATCGAACTAATCTCTTATAATCAGACTTCATTCTTGTCTTCAACATCATATCATATATGTGAATTCTATTTCTAAACTACTTATATTGTTAAATAAGAACTGTCGTCTAAATTTGAACGAATAGTTTCACAATATTTGGGCACCGAGTTAATTTGAGACTAGTATAGGGGTTGTGGAGATTATTAAGTTTTTGATTGAGATCTTGAACCAATTGATGTTAGACCATCACAATTGAAAACCTGGAAGCACTGGACGGCCGTTTCGTCCTATTGTGGGACTCCTCAGCAGTGCGCATCCACGATCCCACGAGCGGGATTCGAACACAGGGCCTTCGGTCTCGCGCGCGAACGCTTAACCAACTGGACCACTGAGACCATTGAGACATTAAAAAAAAGAAGAATATATTTTGTAAAATCTCAGCGAATGAATTTTAAGTAAATCCAACGTTTCGCCTGGCAATCTGGTCCAAGCTTTTTCAAGGAAAAAATATAATCAAACAACAAAATTATTGAATATAGATAGGTACCATGGTTCTTCGGTTTACTGTATACTGAATAAGTATTTGCATTAATACGTAAGAGACATGTTTATATGAAAATAATATGAAGAATAATAAAGGTCAACCAAATAAAAGTTCATTTGAAAATAACCAAGGCGAGAGAAAGAATAAGAAATTGTCGTGTTATCCTAGGTCATAGAATGATTTAAGGATTACAAGGTAAATTCAAGGTTATGACAAATTGTTTTTGTACACATAAGGACAATGTATGTGATTATGAAACCAAAAACGTGTCAAGACAACAGAATGTGTTTATACGCAAGCGATGTGAGAAGAAATTTCATTCAACTAAATATTATTGACTTCGGTCTGTGTATATTAAGAAAAACAGATCATTTTTATATATGAAATGAATCAAAAATACCACAGCCTGCATTCGATGAAGATAAATAAGATAAGTAAACAAAATAAAAGAGGAATGTATATGTAATTGAAGTCGTGTGTTATTTTAATGTTCCAGTCAATTGTTTAACATATTCAGATAAGATAACGGATTTGAATCATTGAACGTATTATCTATCAATTAGTTACTATGGCATAGATATATCAAATTGCAAAAAAGGAGATCAGGTTCACTTATTAATTATTAGTTGCCATGGGACAGCTAGTTGTATTCCATCTCTCCTAATAATATTGTTTGAATTAGCCCATATATGTAGGGCTTCGGCTGTTAGTCTTTCTGAATGATGGGATCACTACTGTGTTCATCCAATCTTGCTTAACTCTTTTTTTAAAAATATCATTCCGTTCTTCATTCTTATTTATTCTTTTAATAAAACCTTTCGGATAATTATTCATTAATAGCGTGGATACAACTAAATTCATTTCCATTTTTGTATCATTCGGTTCAGTGACAAGTTTTTTTGACTCTGGTGATCAAATTTTTGGCCACTGTCACTTTGGTCGAGTGTGGATGCGCACACATAAAATCTAAAAACTTCCCTGAATATGTAGGCTTTCGGAATATATTAATTTTTAAACAATCATTATCCTTCCTTTCAACCAGGCAGTCTAGAAAAGGTAATCTGCGTTCAGGCGATTCCAACTCTTTAGTAAACTTGATTTTGTTATCTAAGCTGTTGAACTGTTGAAATAGTTCGTCTAAACCATCTCGTTTCATAATGACAAAGGTATGATCTACGTATTTTACCCAAATTTTTGGTGGAATGGAACACATTGAGATAGTAATTGTTTCCAATGAATGCATGAATAAATTAGCCACAATTGGAGAGACAGGTGATCCCATAGCCGCACCTTCTGTTTGTCTGTACAGTACTCCTCGAAAAATGAAAACCGTCGAATGTAAGCAAAGCTCCAATGCTCTAATAATGTCTGAGGGGTCTAGAAGGCAATGCTGTTTAAGATCACTGTAAGAATCTAACAGGTTATACACAATATCTAGAGCTTTTTTAACAGTAACATTAGTGAACAATGAGCAAACATCAAAACTTGCCATTATTTCATCCTCTTCTATCTGAATATTACTGACAATGTTTTTGAAATCATTAGAATTTTTTTTATTCCATATTTTATTACGCTTTCATATGGTTTAAGAATTTTGGCCAAGTATCTAGAAAGATTATAAGTTGGTGAATTAATGTAATCAATCACAGGTCTTAGTGGTACATCTGTTTTGTGTATTTTTGGTAGGCCATAAAATCTACACGGGTTATTGCTTTTCGGATATAAAGAGAATCATAAAGATGATCCTAGTTTGGGTTTTAAATTCTGTAGCAATTTGGCCGTTTCAGCTTTCAACTTATTTAAAGTGGCTCTACATTTGCTCTTCATGATTTTTTCATACAGTCCATTATGGAGATGTTCATTGACTTTTCTTTCATAGTCAGAATTATTCATAACAACAGTGATGTTTCCCTTGTCTGCTTTCATAATAACAATTTTTCTGTCTTTCCGTAACTATTTTAGGGCATACGTTTCTTCTTTAGAGATATTAGGCGTATTAGGTTTTTGGTTCAAAATTACAGCTGCGATTTTAAACCTCAATGTATTTGCCTGATCATCCGGAAAATTGTTTAAGGCAGGCTCGATCAACGGAATAATTTCAGAAACCGAAATCCGTGTTCTGTTCATATTGAAATTGAGACCTTTTTTAAGTATTGTTATGAAGGATATAGTAGACTACTATTGCAACACTACTCTAGTAAGATAACATTAAAACTTATACAAGACAATGTACATGTGTTGGGAGTAATATGGAAGAAAGCTGACGGTGGCCAAACTACGACATAGTATTAACTTGTGAAGTTATTGACTGTTGATCTACGCCATGCTAGAGGAAACGAAAACTTATCAAATCCAGCGTTGTGTAGTAATGTATAAAAAGTTAACACAAATCTGAACGTTCTAGGCACTATACCAAGGCACATCTATCGCTCATATAATATGATGAACGATAAAAGCGATTTGATTTTGAATTTCTCACAGAAACAAGAAATAATTTCCCTGAATTATGTTTGTTTTGTCCACAGATATAACTACTAGAATGAAGTTGGTAGATAGTAGCGAATATCATCCGATCGAAAGTTCGTAGAAGATTATACTCCACAGTTGTTTGCATTATTATTTGTCCAACCTGAATAGGATAATTGGTTTAACAAAGACAACAACAATAAGGTCTATGTATTTGACACTGATTTATATTGTGCGTGAGAACTGTTTCTAACATGAGTCGATTGTGGTTCAAATATGTAGTTTATTGGTGAGAATACGACACTTTTAACTACCATTAATCGATTACCTATTGGTAACTGAAGTTGAAATTATCCTCACACATGCGGCATTGTAAAACATTGAAAACACATATTCACTACAAAACTGATTAGTTACTCTGAAATATCATTCACGAATCAACTAATCTAATGAGATAAACGGATTCTCAGAATTTTGAGTATTTCAAATTCACGATGTGGATTATGTCGACAACAAACATGTATATTAAATAGTGTGACTGATTGGAATAAGGTAATATTTAGTTTATGTCCAATTATCATCAATATTACTCGTTTGTAAATTTGCATTCAAATGTACGTAACATTTGATGCGAAAATATAAGATTGACATTGAAGGTCCATCTGTAAGATTAGATTGTACTAATTTGGAAAGTATTTCTTTCTTTCAGTAAAATAATCACGTGAAGTAGCGAAGAATATTCATAATCTTATATTAATTTTATCTATACACATAACCTCGAAATAACCTTTACACGTAATGGTTAAAAGTACAAATGATGACTAGAATTGTTTTTGTTTGAAAAAGATGGATGATGGCTAGTTGTGGAAACATGGACGCGCGTTTTATCCTGTTTGACACTCAAACTCGTCACCTTTCATCAAATACATCAAATGCGTCATCCACTGAGACCAATTTGCTTGAGAACTTGATTAATGTTTAAGATGTTTTCATCATCATAGTAATGGTTTGAGTTCTTGTTGTCTTGATAGTCAAACTAAGGTCCTTTCCTTCTTTGTTAGCATAAATACATCTTGTGAAATTTGTATTGATGTAACCAATATATCCTAGTGGCAATAATTGCTCCTTTCATAGCTCTCGTTATAATTTAAAACTGTTTCACAGCCGAATATGATGTCACCAATCTGTTCAAATATTAATCAATTAAACTTCAATAAGACTGACTTGTTCACTAAGTAACTGACCACCTAAAAATAACCAGCGTCATACAGTTCGGCCTTTACCTTCAAAATTATATCTATGATTATGTGCAGGCTTCCAGTCACGATTGTAGATAGTGTTAGTGGTTGTAATTCATCATAAATTATATGACTGAAGTAAGTCAAGAATTTTGATAATCGAATATGAAAGCCAATAAGACATCGTTTCAAATGCTTAACTCGTATCTATTTATTGATAAATTTAAATAGACTTGTTACTGTGGTGTAGAAATCTGGTTGTACTCACTGGCTTAAATATAATAGTAGTTCTACGTTTTTTATCTAGTCAAAACTGATTTCTGTTTTTTCTTCAGGGATTAATACCGTATTATCATAGATCTATGTTCAAGCATTAACAAGTTCTTCAAGGATTCAAGAATATATTTGAAAAATGATAAATAGGTTTCAGCCTCAGTAGGAAAGGGTTTCTTATATCGATATAAATATTATACCCGTTAAATACGTTAGTGTTTGTCCGCTATCAGTAACTTAGTAGATAACGTGTTTGTGATTTGATAGATATTTATATGCTGATTAATTACTTATGCTTGTATCATTGATAAATTTTAAGTCTTGAATCCAGTACATTTTATTTCAACGTGAATATTCACACAATTACCAAAATAAGATTCATTCCCCATACACCAAATGGTAACTCAGTAGATAATGTATTTAACGTTTCACACAGATTGTGTTTTCGATTCTTGTTGTGAACGTCGATAGTAGGATTCAGGTACATCCAGGTGATAAGTACCAAATAGAAATAGGACACACATAACCTATTCCATTGATTGCCACCACCTAACTACTTACAATCTTATAAACGATGTAGATTGACAAGATACACACGAGTTTTCCATATTAAATTCTACCGACCAGCGATTTCACTGAAAACAAATTACAAGTAAAATCACCTTCTAGCTCTTAAAAGTGAAATTGTTTACTGACCATTCTATGGTTCACAACGATTGAGTTTCATTTACATATCACTACTCATGAGTAGTATAAATGTTTTCATGAAATTTGTTGATGAAAACCTTCAAGTATGCATATATTTACAACAGGTAATGATCCTATCACTTATGGAAGGTACCAAATATCCATACAACATTGATGATAAGTTCTCTACAAACTGCAATCTTAACTTGAATGAATTGTTTCATAATAGTTTAGCACTAAGTTTGTTGATTAGATAAGTGGAAATTATATTTGTAACAATCTGGTCTATTGAAGTTACTAATTATTTTAACGTTCTTCTTAACAGTATGGCATGAAATAATCGCCAATCGAAAATTTAATTTAAATTTTCCAAACTAAACACCCTTTTTATTGAGAACTAGCTTGTTTGGAGATAGATATGAAACTGAAAAAAGCATTTATTTTGATGTTCACTGTTGACTTTGTGGGAAATGGTTGGTGCTATTGAATTCGTACCTGAAAGGACCTCTCGCTTCATATTGATGAGCATCTTCCAGCACTTTTAAGTGAAGTAGTCACAGCGCTATCCTTTCTTATTTGAGAGGCAGTAAACACCGTATCAAAACAGAACATTTTTTATCGAATATATATTAGTTATGCAAAATAAAAATGAAACAGCGTTTGAAAGACGTTCTTCTGTATACTCTGCTAATATACTCTGTATAATCTGATACTCTGAAAGATCGGTTAACGAAAGTAATTAGCAGGACATTCTATGCATCTAATCTTGCGTTGACGTTCTCGAGTCGATCAGTAATGTCTATTCAAACGAAGGATAAATAACCTGAGTTGGCCTCCTCAATGTGCATTTACAAATTCAGCTGCTCTTGTGGCGATAGTCATATCGGGCGTACTACCAGACAACTTGACCAACGAATGAGTAGTTTATAAAGGGACAGATAAAAACAATACGCGGTTCTATCTTGGCACATTTTATTGACAGCGGTCGTACTATAGAAAAATCGGAAGCATTTCGAGTGGTCTGTCGTATACCTCCATCATTTCCCAACGGAGTTCGTTCTCGTCTCCTAAATATAGCTAAAACAATAGGAATCCGTGCATATAACCCCAATTTATATGTACGGAAGAAATTTCTGACCCCGCTATCCTTTCCGTGGCCAGTTACAACTTAACAAACGACTTTCTTTATTTTTGTTATCATTAACATTATTTTCACATCCGGTATTTGTTTGTAATTTTCCGCCTCTTTCCGTTTTTATTCTTCACTATCTAATTATTTACTCACTCTTTATTACGTAATGGTTTTAATGTTTTATGTTGACTATTCCAAGTCTATTTACCCACGTTTGACCTTCTGTTTCCAATGTTTAACTATTGATAAGACTTTTGTTATTGTATTTTATTATTCTTACTACTATCAGTACACCGGTTTCCCTACTATCAACTTGTACTTTTACTTATTATGTGTGGTGACTTATTCTATTCCATTGGGATTATTGACCTAAATTACCTTGATTGGTTTAACATTTTCGTATAAATATTCATGTATATTAGAGTAAAGCCTGATGAAGATCTAATTGAAAACAATCTTGTTCGCTTACATGTGTTGTTCCAATATAATTCACTATTGACTAATTGACTGAAGTATAACTATGAGTTTACACATATATTTAACCGCAATTTGAGGACATTGGAAATAGAGATATAATAAATAGAGCAAGATAGTAACCAAAATAAAGCCCGCAGTAGTAAGAAAACTTACGTTAATTTAGAAATTATATGAGAACTTTCCTTTATCTATATTAGTTGAAGAAAGATTGTCTTATAGGAACATATTCAAACTTTGTTTCGTTGAATAAAAGTACTACTTACCTTCGTACAAAATTAGCTGTGTTCAAGTTTGGCTCATTAAAATATCATCCCTTTTAGAGTTTTAAGTGTATGAATCTGTTTATGTAATCATTTGATTCAATACTTCAGTAGGATGTATTCAGTCTTATTAAGTTGAAAATAATGCAAAAACTCTCACTAGATTAGCTTTCTTTCTTTTCCAAAAGATGTATCAGCTATATGCTTATAGAAAATAGTTGCGATGTTGGCATACATCTCATCATTTATGTGAGATTTCTTTTAGATTGTACAGAGATGGCTCAGTGGCTTAACTTTCAGTCATTAAATAATCGCAATTTCAAACCATTCTCTAGCTATTTCTGTTAAGTCAGTCCTATGGTTTCAATAGCCATCACATTTAAAACTGAAACTCAGTAAACATTTCTGTACTTAACAAATCAGTTATATATATAGAAAGTTTAATCTCATTTGTTTTAATTTTCCCCATCTCTAGATTTAAATCTGTTGAACTGATGATCTATTTAGCAATTTCCATTTGTCCAGCTTATAGTTTCATTTACATGGTGAGTAATTCATCATATATTCATAAATTTTATCCTGTTTATTTGTAACAAGGAAGTTAATCGTCATTCGAGTTTATAAACTAGTTCTGTGTAAAAGGTTGACCAAGAGTAAAATATATATTGTATTCATGAGGGCTGGCGATGACGGAAGAGATATTTAACTCTTGAGAATTGTCTTGAATGTGTTGCATCCTCTTAATGTTATACACTACTCATTATTTCTTTTGTTTTTTAAAGTATGGACTTCTATAGAAGGTTAAATGCTCATCATGAGACTCAAGGGTTTTAGGTTCGATCCCCGGCAACGAATAGTTTTATACTAAAACGAAATAGTCATAAAGTGCTTTCTAGTTTATCAAGTCCACTTTTTCCATCTAGTCTAATTTACCAGATTGAGATCATGAGTCAATTGAAGCTAGACCACCATAGAAAACCTGGAAGCACTGGACGGCCGTTTCGTCCTAGTATTGGACTCCTCAGCAGTGCGCATCCACCCCGCGAGATTCGAACGCAAGATCTTATATAAGATCATCTGCTCACTAGTGACTGACTTCGGAAGATACTCCTGGAGTCCTAGTGAAAAGCCGTTACAAGTGGAGTTCAACCAGGTCTGTTGTGAAATATCAGCTCACTGAAGACAGTGGTAAACGGTGGCGCAACTTCATGGATTGGTTAAAGTTAGACATTAACACCACTGGATGCCGTCCGACTCAGTGGTCTAGTTGGTTAAGCGCTTGGCGCGAGACTGATAGGTCCTGGGTTCGGATCTCACGGGGTGCGGGATCGTGGATGCTCACTGCTGAGGAGTCCCATACTAGGACGAAACGGCCGTCCAGTACTTCCAGATTTTCCATGATGGTCTAGCTTCAATTGACTCATGATTTCAATCTGTGAAATTTCTAAAATCTCTACAAACCCCTTCTGATAATAATCTAATCTATTCAACAGAACTCAACAATCTTCACAAACTCCTTGCAGTAATTCTAATTCTCTATTTTCTTTCTTTTCTCATTTTCTAAAATTTAGCATGAACAATCTGGTCTACCATTATTATTTACAGGGGCATTTGTTTATTTATCTGGTGTGATATTTTTCAAATTAGATGGTCATATTCCATTAGCACATGCAATATGGCATTGTTGTGTATTTATTGCTACATTTTTACAATTCAATGCAGTCGATACATTTTTATTAACAAATTAGATAAACAAATTTTTAGAGAAAAAAAAGAAGAAAGAAAATGATAAACGAGAAAAGAAAATCACCATGATCATTTATTTTTGTTGTTGTTGTTATGTTATCATAAAGAAAGGTTTGTTTGTTCGTTTGTTTGTTACTTTTTGTTGAGCATTTTTCTGGTTAGCGTTTTTTTTAGCGAGTTAGTTTTCTACGGATCGCTAACCCAATGCCCAACCTTCCTCTTTTACCCGGGCTTCGGACCGGCAGTAACTCTAAAAGAGCTACATACGCAGTTTTTATTGAGCATAATAGTCATAATTTATTGAACACTATATATATATGTATATACATAAATAGTAATTGACTACTGATATACTTAATTCAACACAGATATTATTTATTAGCTTCTTTGTATGTAACAGATTTTCTTCATTTCTATATATTAATTATGTAATATTTATCTGTTGCTTAATATGCTGAATGTAGTGATATAATTCCTCCTTCTCTCAATTTTCGTTCCCAAAATCACATTAACCTTCAAGATTCCATTCTCCTTATCTATCTATCTGTCTGTCTGTCGATCGGTCGGTCTATCTGTCTATCCGTCGGTCTGTCTATCTGTCTATCCGTCGGTCTGTCTGTCTTTCCGTTGTGTAATATTTCCATTACTATTTATAACATACAAATCTTTTACTCATTTTTAATTTTGTTAAATTGAATTTATTCTTTTTCCTGACATTAATTTACAGAGTTATTTTAATGCGTTTTTTTTAAATTATATTTCTCAGTTGTATTTTTTAATCAGATATCAGTAAAACAAAAGAATGTTATGAATGGTAGTGATTATTATCTCTTGTTAGTAGTATATATATGTTTGTCCGTTACAACCAAACAAGTTGGTGAAGCCTAATTAGGCCCTTCTGGCAAGAAACAAGCCACATTGAAGCACGGTACAATTACCAGGGGCTAGAATAGCTGTTTTTTGCAACCGGTAGGAGTTTTCCCCGTAAGGAGTAACCCCGTATATTACATGCACTAGTTTTGTCAATTTTTGTTGTTGTTTTTCTATCCAACAGTAATTGTGCTATGATACTTTGTGGATTTCGTAATCGATTTAAGGGTATCAGTCGAGTGGGTGATTAGTCTGATCTCTATCATCTGGATTACGACTCACGTTAGTTTATGCGTCATCTGTCCCATTATTCAGGAGGTACGATGCGGACATGTAAATAGGCTTTTTCTTCCCAGTATATAAAATTTCTTATAATAATGTGGGCAAAAAAAAACAAATCAACCTTATTAAACATTTTGTCTAGTATAATATTGAACTAGGAATATTGATTAACATAATTTAGCAGAACAGTGAAAATGATTTTTTATCTGTTCAATCTCATTACTGATGTGAACAGGGAAACAAGAAACCATGACAAACTACGAAAGCTATGTTTCGGGACGTTATTTCATTTTATGCAAAGCTTGTAAAACACTAACATTTATTTTTGCCCCTAAGTAAAGCTTAACAAATTAAATAAGAATAGCTCATACAATAATTAAGATTTTTGAAATGGATAACATAAACAACCCATCAGTTTATTCATGTAACTGTCCCATATCTTTTTCAGCTGCAATAGATTTATATATATATCGTGAATATCAACTGTGGGATGCAGGTACATCCAGCTGACAAGTCCCAACTAGGACGAACCGCGCATCCTGCATTCCACTACTAGCCACTATCCATCTTTGCTTAGAATGCTTGTGACTTAAGGTAATATCGAAACATTCCGTACAGGATACGTACACGCCAATAAGAGACTGATCAATCGCAGTTTTAAATCTCAATAGTAAGTTTCAAGTAAACAATATAAAGATAAAGGGAATATTTGCTTTAAATTTTATCAAGTTTCAGATGAATAACTTTGGGGTCATACAGTCTTAATTGAAGTTTCATCAAGGAAATAATCAAAAGTATAAAAGAGAAATAAGGTCACAATATTGTTCCCCATAAATAATTGATCAATCATGTTCGTATGTCGAATTCACCTTAAGTATGAATATGATGCTACCGCGTCAAGGTTATCATAAATCATTCTAGTAGAAACCTGAAAAATCAATAAATAAGCGTACATATTCCAAGAATCTGATTATGCAATAGCTTGATAAGATAGGAGAAGTAAAAATGAAGATAAAAGAACAAAAAACGAAATACACCGCCCAGTCTTTTATAATTGAATGAAATCTAATTATTGAGACATAAACGAAAGAAAATTGGTTCAATGGAGAGTTTTCTATTTAGTGAATTCATTTCCAAAGCTGTACAATAGCAAGTATATACTGATTGTCCCGAATGATAACAATTATAATGGCAGTGATAACAAAATCCTGCTAAACATGGTGATAGAGAGGTAAAATAAAGGCATAAAAGGGTTATGCATCATATTAGGGAAACTATTATCAACGTTATTGAGAGCTTCAATATTCATTATGCAGATAATATCGAGAATTATTTGTGGAAAAAGGATGTTTAGCGTGATAAGATTTCAATGAACTGTAATCAGGAGAATCATTGAAACATAAACAAATTAGTTTGAGGGTAGAAGGTCTAAAGAGAAGATAGAAGGAAGACAGATATCTGAAAAAGAAGGAACGAAAAAAATTACGACAGATTAAGACCATGGTACAAATAGAGATTACATAAGTTTCATTTGTGCAACATAATTCTGGTGTTTCCAAATATACGTTAAATTCTTCAGTAATGCTAAGAAGACGGGAGTTGTCTGTCGTTGAGGGCTGCCTACTCACCTAGTAAATAACTTTAAATGCAGAGTTTGTTTCCATCAAGCGATCTGTGTTCATAATGTGTCCGATTATAAAACTTCTTAGTGATTGATTCTCACCTCTTTTCGGCCAAGACAGGTAATGTTCTTGAATTTCTTTTGGATAAAACATGCATCGGACGATCTGAATATCTGGCCCCACATGAAATACGTATCAATATTATCAGAGTAGGCTTAAATTAATGACAGACTTTTTGTTTGTCGACATCCTAGTTATTTTTTATACAACACTACAAAAGTCTGATCTTAAGATTAAACCACTGATCTGTTTCAGCTAAGCACTTATCAATATAACTTTCCTCTTAACTGTGGCCTTTATATAGGGACATGGATTCATAATGTAGATCCATTTCGCATCACGTTAATTTAAGAGCTCTGTTTCATCATAACATAAAGAGATTGACAGAAGCACCGTATATATGAGCTAATAAGAACAGCCTGAACAGTAAGGATGGTATTCAACTAGCAACCACTTGGCAAATGTTCGTTAACAAGTAGTTGGACCCTTTCTTTATCCAACCTGTTTATTTCACATGCATCGTTATTTTGATAAAAATTAATCTGGGATATTTTAGCACTACCATTATGTATTTGATGGTCCTCAATTTACATGCATATCGACTATTCAGAAACAATTTCAACTTGCACCTCTATTTTTTCCTTCATATGATAACAAATTTAACACTTAATATCAACTATTATTAACTCAATCTTACACACACATACACACAATCATCTATACACTCACTTCCACATTGTAAACGTTTCACATGATTCACATATAAATGACCCATGTTGTCCTACTTACTAACGTCAGCATCTAAATATGATTGGATAAGCCACAGTCAAGATTTTATTTGATTGTTAAACACTATATATTTCTTTGATTATTACCCTGAAGAAGTCCAAACAAATTCGCTGGACAAAACGTTGGAATTGTTGACATTTCAATCGCTGAGATTATTCCAAATATAATTTTCACAAATAATGTGTTCCCTATATACTTGACGGCCAATTTTTGTCAAATTATTCGTTCTAATATTGACGAATATTTGTATAAATCAATATGATTGTATGTGCAAATATAATTCATTCTATTTTACAACCTGTCTATCAAATGTTATTCATATAGGATTGATCATTATCAATGAGAACTGAGATATTCCCCTGTTCATATTGGTTACCCATAATTCCGACGGTATTAATGTCTAATTTTAATTAGTCCACGAAATTTAGCGACACATCCACCATTGCCATCAGTGAGTTATTATCTGACAACTGACCCATTTGAACTCCACTGTTCATTGCTTCTCACTAGAACTCCAGGAAATACCTCTTGAAGCCAGTCAGTAGTGAGCATATGTTGCTTTATTTATTTATTTTAACACATAGATATTGGTAAATGAGGCAGCAAGCAGATATGCGACACACAAATCTCATTTGATATGTGTGAGGGCTGTGATACTGACCAGGTGCACAAACCGAAGCAGATGGTTTTCTTAGAGGGCCACACCCGGAGACTTCGACCTAAAGGTCTGACCCACAAGGCAATGGAGCATCGTGAGGAGATGCAGTCCCATGGTAGCCGGTGACCAACGATTGGTTCATACGCCATTTGTTCCTTCAGGATACTGGAGCCCATGTGCACCATTGGTTTGGAATCAGGGTTTTCTGACTCCCCTAGGTGGACTCTCCGTATCCACCAACCCGGTTAAACCTCCGAACATTCGCTTTTCGTTCTCTCAATTCGACAGATAACACCCCAGCCACAAGAAGGCAGTGAGTAGGACTTCCCTGGCAGAGGCTATATACGCGTGTTCATGTGAGAGCATTTCGAGAGGGAGAGCTGACTCTTCACACTCTTGGCCATACCAGGGCGTTTGGGGGCCTTAATATCAGAAAGGGTTTTTGTGGATATTATAGTAATTTCGATGATTGAGATCATCAGTCATTTTAAGCTAGACTCATGATCTCAACTATTGAAATTACTACAATCTCCACAAAACCACCTCTGGTATGAACAACAGCATTGACAAATCCCCCCCCCATATCAACCATAAAACTACCTACATGTACAAGATTTATTTTGTTGAAAATTATTCTTAAAAAAACTTTTAACTAAGAAAAGATAAACGAACAACTAAAGATAATTAAAATAATAAGAACATAAATTTATCATACAGAGTT